TGTAAGTTGGGTGGTTTAATTCTGAAGCTTTCATTATCTTTCTAGGCAATATCGTCAGTACAATATTCCGTCTGAAGGATAAACCTTATCCACAACTTCTATTTAGAATTCTTGATTAGTATTGATGCTTTCTATGTTTCATACAATCAAGATAAATATTTTCTTTTAAACAGTGTAGTTAAATAATTAAGTTAATCGCCTATCGTGATGAAGCAACCGAGCTATACTGACTGGAACAACCGTTCCTCAAAGTCGTACCATGTCAGAAAGGTTGTTTGACGAGCGGTAAGACTAAAAGCAACAAACCTAAGGTTCGAAGGCGAAGTCGTACTGCTGACTGTACAGAGGTGTGACAGCAGTAAGGTGTTTCCTTCAGACAACCAGCATGACAGCGATGCTGCCTTCCCACAAGGAGGGGTGGGGTTAGAAAAGGTCGACCTTAAAAATGCGAACCTTGCCTTATCCCACGGATGTCCGTCTCCGGTGGTAAGGTCTCAACAAGCACGGAGCTAACACAAAAATTACCCATAACAAGGTCGTGTGTGAACGACCTCAAGCAGTTGTCCCTTGGGCACTGCGGTCACGCTCTCAGGTCACTAAGACCACTTTTAATCCGATTTCCTTTTCAGGCACCTCCAGAAGAACCCTCCCACGGTGTAGGCAACCGGGAAGTGATAATCGCCCTCATACCTCTAACAGCACTCAAGACTACTGTCTTGAAACACACATAAATCCTTTTTTTAATAGACGCAAACTGATATTTAAATATATTTTCGTAATATGGTTTTGAATCGGTCCTTCATTTCCAATACAATATGTTTTTGATGTTGTTTAATTTATTTAATTATAATTGGCAGTACTACATCTGTCTATTCTGATTCAAATGACAAGAATGGCTTAGGTTGATGCACATTTCTCTAAGGTTTCAAGATGACTATAACTGATTTAAATAAGGTGATACCAAGCACATTTGTGCATTGTTTCAAGGTACCACACTACATTAGCACAACGAGATGAAATTATGCTGAATAATACCAGAGAAGTACAAATAGTAACAGCATAAACAATAAGCTTTAGGAAGAAAGAATGAATTCGTGGTACAGAAAAATATAAGATAATTTTAAAACTCAATATATAAAGTAAGACAAACGGTTGTAGTACTAACATAAATGAGAAATACTTCAAAAGCATCTAGAGACAAATATTAATTATCGATAAATATCCTCTAATTTTATAGACCATTATTCAAAGCTATAAAACAATACGAACTGTTGTAAAGTATACTTGTTCATTAGTTAACAGATGGATATATTACCTACGGATTAAAAAGCTCGTTTGGCTTTTGCCAACTTACATCATCTATGGCGAAGGCGAGATATCCGTCTGTCAATAAGAGGACGAGTATACTGCACGGCAGTTCATTCTGTTCTATTTTACAGCTGTGAAACGTGGTCATTAAGAGTAGAAGATATTCGAAAGTTACTAGTATTTGATCACAGGTGTCTTAGAAACATTGCTTGCATCCGCTGGGATCACCGGGTGAGTGATAGTGAGGTTAGACTCAGGGTATTAGGGAATGATGGTAAATAAATTGGTAAGGTTGTGAATCTTCATCGACGTATACCTGAACATCGATTACCACGACTAGTGTTGGAGACGGTTGAAAGAAAGTAAGGGGTGGCCAAACCAAAACATACCATCAGTCCTTGAAGTCACTGACTTCTAATCTGAGCCATGCTGGTCGATGCAGACTACATAGTTCGGGTCCGTGTGTTTATCATAACCAATGGTTGCAGACTGTCTGTGACATGACTCAAAATCGATCACAATGGCGTCGGTGTATATACTGTCGGTCTTCCCTTAAACTATGAGAATAAAATTGCTTTACATCTTTCTAATTCTTTATTCCTGTATTACATCTTTATACACAATCTTTCTTTTTTATATTATCACCACTGAACTAACTACTTCTATCAATTCGGTGTTTGTGTTTTTGTGCTAATGAGGTATGGCAACTTGAACCGATACATACATGTGCCTAACCGTATGTTGTAGCTGACTGACTGATTAATTGACTGAATATCTTACCTACAACATAGTTTAAGCGGAAATATTCATAATACATTAACTCATTCCATAATAGAAATTTATAAGTAGTATTACTAATTAAAAAAACAACCAAACCAAGTTATAATAATAATTTCAATTATTTCAATTACATAATATTTCACACCTGATATATTCTATCAGAATATAAAGAAAAACAAGAAAAAAAAGTGGTACTTATTTTAGAGTACGTTCTTTTTTGTGTTATTTTATTTTGACTTCCGGCATCAATAAATTAACTTCTTATTTTATTTATTTAAGTTTTTATTCTCTGTGTGGTTTTATTTAGATTAGTCAATATATTCTTGGCTGACATGATGATTTATTGATTGAGATCATGTACTGATTGATGTTAGACTACCACTGAAAACCTAGAAGCACTGGGTGGCTGTTTCGTCCTATTGTGGGACTCCTCAGCGGTGCACATCTACGATCCCGCTCGCTGGATTCGAACCCAGGGTCTTCAGTCTCCCGCGCTAACGCTTAACCTACTGGACCACTGATCCGGCCAGAATCCAATGGTGTCAATATCTTACCTCACTCAATCCACGAAATTGCGCAACCATCTTCCATTTTAATGAGGTAGATACCTGTCTCTACCTGACACGGATTAGCTACACTGGTCACGGCTTCTCACTAGAACTCTGAGAATTCCCTGACGAAGTTAGTCATTAGTGAGCACATTGTAATTATCAGTATTGGGGGTTGTTGAGATTAAGTTTTTTGATTGAGATCATGAGGAGTCCCACAATAAGACGAGACTACCGTCCAGTGCTTCTAGGTTTTTTAATGATGGTCTATCGTTGATCAGTTCATCACCTTAATTTTCAAAACTTAATTTACTAATAAAATATATATTTAATTAAGAATTTTGTGAAAAATGATTTTTCAAACAATTGGATCAGTTGATGAATAATTCAAAACTATTTAGCATGTATTGTTATATAGTTGCATCATCCTAGTATATAACTGTTCAACAGTATGTATCCAACTTAAAATTGGAAAATCAAAGAGATTTAACATGTTTCAACCAAGATTATTTACTAGTAACCAAGGATTCAATTGGATAAAATTTTTGTGTAAATGTTATAACTCACTGTCAGTTGAGATTAGAGTGTAATCAATATAAAGAGTAAGTCAGTTTATAACATCACACAACTAGGGATAGACGTACATTAATTTACGTTGCTATATCTTATATTAGTACACTTGTAGGTGGTTAAAAAAAATCGATAGACAGGGAAATAATTCAGTAAGAATAACTGGAATCTGAAGCGAAGAGCACAATACATGTTTAAAATCTAGAATTTAAAGAAGTAAAAAAATGAATCCGTTTATATATGAGATTCATTTTGATAGATGTTCATCAATCAAAGATTACAATTAAAGAAGTTTATATTTTATAATTCACATCAATAGTTGGATAACTTGATGTTATCTCCTAATTTAACCTCCAAAACTGTTCATGTCATCAACTAATGCAACAAATGTTCAACTTGATTAAGCCGGTAGGAAGTAACATTAAAAATCTATACCGAATTATCAGTCACACCCATTATAAAGGATTCTATCAGATTTAACATCAATTGTGGAGTTTCAATCTGTATTCGAAACAAGAAAATGATCTCCATGAAAACTGATGAATATATAAAACGAATCAAAGATATCTACTTTTCACTAATGTTACTACATCGCGGTGGGGAGGGTTGATATATCTAACAACTAAACTAGTTTGAATAAGAGTAACATATGAAACAGACATTTTCCAATCATCTATAACATATAATCACATCTTAAGAAAGAGTAATTATCTAATTTGGTAAATTAGCCTACTTCCGTTTGGGCGCCTTGGCAGTATCCTAAACTTCACATAGACATAATGGTGAAGTGTGGTACATATTTATTTACTGTCTCCTTGTACCAATCTTTATATGTTTAAATAAATAAATCAGTGTCTGTTCATATATTAAGTTAGTGATGAATTGATGCTAATTACTATTCATTTCAACTCATACAAAATTTGACTATTAATCCGACTGTACATTAACGTATTTAAATATTAGTGTATTCAGATTCGTATTCGTTATTATCCTGTCAGATACATGGTTTTCCTGATGAAGTACCAAATGTACTGTTCAATTACAACAATCGCTAAAATAAATATAAGAAAGTATTACCGAAATTGATAATTAATTTATGAAATTTATCAACATTGTAAGGACTTGATTTGAAACGATCAATGTTCACTAATATCATGTCTTTAATTCACAATAGTTCTCAAATAAGTACCAGTTTATTGTAATAACTAATTTCAAATGTAGTAGTAGTAGTAGTAGTAGTAGTAGTAGTAGTAGTAGTAGTAGTAGTAGTAGTAGTAGTAGTAGTAGTAGTAGTAGTAGTAGTAGTAGTAGTAGTAGTAGTAGTAGTAGTAGTAGTAGTAGTAGTAATAGTCTCTATAAATTACTATCTCAAATTATTACTGATCTAATGCTCATTAAATAATGAATAATAAATTTGCATCAGAAGGGTTTTTTGTAGAGATTTTAGTAATTTCAATAATTGAGATCATGAGTTAATTGAAGCTAGACCACCACGAAAAACCTGGAAGAACTGAACGGCCGTTTCATCCTATTGTAGGACTCCTCAATAGTGTGCATCCACGACCGCCTCTCGTGACGTGCCGGCTCAGTGGTCTGGTGGTTAAGCGCTTGCGCGCGAGACTGATAGGTCCTGGGTGCTCACTGCTGAAAAGTTCCACGATAGGAAAAAGCGACCGTCCAGTGCTTCCAGGTTTTTCATGGTGTTCTAGCTTTAATTAACTCATGATTTCAACTACTAAATAATAAATTTATTCGAAGTTATAAATCTAAATCATTTCAATATAATCTACTTACCGAAATGAAGAAGTGGATACAATTCTGACTCAATGTCTGGTTTCTTAAACTTTGATTATTACTATTATTATTCAATGATGATGAATAAATTGTATTTTAAATGTATAATTCATAATACAACAACAAAAACTGAGAGAAAATTAGTTTGTTTTTAATAGTTACAGTAGGATATTTCTACTTCTGTCTTTTTCTAAACTTTTCTGGTGTGTAAATATTCATTTATAATGTTAATTATTTTCTAGATATTTTATTGTTATTGTATATTGTATTCATTTATATACTGGTATTACAATAGTAATGAATATTGAAAGATAGAAAAGGGAAATAGTTTGTTTGTTATATTCTAATCAAATACAATGAGAAATGATATTTCCTTTAAATTTCTCAAGGAGATAACTATTTTACTCTATTGAAGTTTTTAAATCTCTTTTCTTGTAGCTGTTAAATTATTATTTAATTCCAAATTATAAACGTTCTCTCATGTTGATCTTTATCAATGTAACTAAATAGTAGCTAATAATTATAGTGTAATAGAAATTGTAATAGGGGACGAGTTTAGGTCATAATATTGGCGTATCAAAAGCCATTGTCGAAAATTAATTTATCTACCCCCTCTTACTCACTGACTATCCGACTACCTAACCACCCACTCACCCATCTTGTACATACAAAAGAGTTTCTTCAACAATTTATGTCATTCTGTCCCTCTATATCAAATTATACCAACAAACACACACGCAATATATATATATATATATATATATATATATATATATATATTGGCGTAAACAAACAGTCAGGTTAATGGTATATTTTTATACATACAGTTTAGTCTGGACAATCACCAGGTTGGTTTACTGTTGCTAATCTAGCGCCGATATCCATTAAACCTACCACCACCCGTTTACGGTAAGAAAAAAAAGTATAATCATCAGTAAACAAGTTGCTTAAGAAAAAAAAGGATTGACAATAAGTAAATTTTCTTTTCTTAAAACTGTGCTTAGTCAATGTCTAAAATTGAACTATTTTAGAGGGAGAACAAGACAAATATTTTTTTGTTTTCTAATAACGAAATCGTTATGGTTGAAATTCAACTTTTGCATATTTGCCCTAATTTGAAATAATATCGGTGTGATCACTATAAATTTGTTACTGATATATTAATTGCCTTATCGTCTGTTGATTTATTCGTTAAAACACAAAAATGAGTAAGTATTAGGCGCCAGTCTGTCTATTGAAAACATAAACATTTGATTGGATGAAATAAACAACCAATACAATATCAATATGTATTTACAACTATCCTAAACACACAATCTTAAATGGAAACAAAAACAAAACCCAAAAAAATAAAACACAAAATTCAACAGGCACCTGTCTGTCTATGTGTATCAGACAAATTGGAGCCAGTATAAATGTTGAATATGATTGGTTTACTGGTATTGTTTAATGTGATAAATTAGTATATAAATATGCTGTGTTAAAACCGTGTTTCTAAATAAGAATACAATGTAACAGTACTAAAGCAGTTGGTGGTTGTCAGTTTATTTTTTTGTTGTAAATTCAAATGTTATATTCAGCCGTTGATCAATGTGTATAGAAAAGTAGAATATAATCAAACTACATTGAAACGTTTGACATATATGGAATAGGCCAAATATTTTGATGGAGTTTTGTTTTCTGAACTGGATGGTTTGGTCGTGGAGCTTTCATCTTTCTCTCGAACAACATCATCAGCACAAACTTCAGATAGAAGTCCTGAAGTTCAAGAGCAAACCATTCAGCTCAGAGAACAAAACTTTATCAAAATCATTCACCTGAACTACAAATCTTCTCCACTATCTCATCGGATAAATATATTTTGCAGTGAAAAATAGCATGAATTTATTATGTTAGTTGTGATACAAAGAAAAAGAAACGAAACCGATTAGCCAAGATAAGCATGAACAAATAACCAGTTGCATTAAGTTTCTATTAATTACCTCAATATATCTCATTTTGTTTTGTCATGAACAGATCAGAAGTACTTATTTCAGAATTATTCATGAGTCTTTTAGTCAGTTTCATGATTTTAAGATGAACGCTTTAAATATTCATTCTGAGACTGTAATTTATGAACAACTTTTCAGCGACACTAAATTAACCTTGGGAATTAGAATTATGATTTGCAGTTAATAGTTAGGGTTAGGAATTAGATTTATTGTTTTTACCACTAACTGACCAGCTAAAATACCAAAACACTATTTAGTCAAATGGATACATAAATTTCGCGCCAGAATACAAAACCTGTTACCTCATATCTGATCGTTTCGTTCATAAATTATTGTCTCGCCACGTTGTCTTGTTAGATGAGTTGTACCTCACTGGTTTATTGTCCTGTCTGATTTTGTTCAATACAGTTCTGTCGTTTATTTAATACTTTACTGTGGTTTTATTTCATCGATAATCACTACTGAGTCGTTCACTGATTAGTACACAGTAAAAACAACAATGGATCCAACAGATAATGAAAGCTAGAATGATAGTAAATCCCAGCTAACTTATAAAGTGATTTCATATACTTGGATTCATTTTTACCGAAATGTAAGTACAAGAAATATATGAAATAGTCTGCAGTATATAATATTTGAAAATCTGTTGATTGACAGCAAAAGGCTGTGATCAATTAAAATTACAATTTCAGTATAGAATTGTGAAGATCATGAACTGATCAGTGTTAGACTACCCCTGAAAGCTTGGAAGCACTGGATAGCTGTTACGTCCTAATATGGGACTTTCTATCAGCAGGAATCCGAGATGCCGCTCGCGGTATTGTACATAGATTGGTTTTTTTTTCACAAATTATCATTATTAACACAATGATCGTTTGTTTTTTATTTAACTAGGCGTATTATTTGAATATAAACTTTTGTAACTATGATAGACTCTGAGTATAATTCAGTTCATGAATATTTTCCAGTTAAGTGTTATTTTGGATTAAGTAATTGTTAGACAATTAATGAGTTAAAAATTCCTTCTACCTCCATTGATTCTACTGGTTTATTATAAGATTGTTTAAATTCCATGTCAGTTGTAGTAATGCTAAGATGAGTCGTGAAATAACTCTAGAGAGAATCCTCATTCCTACTGGTAATGGAAAGTGATTGCTGTCAAACTTCTTAGTATAGAAATTTGTTTCAATCCATATTAAAAATGTCTTTTTCATAAATACTTGAGTATAAAATATTGAAGCTTTGAAGGGACGTCAATATCTCTTTTGTTTCTTTGGTGGGTGGGCGTATTCAGAAATTTTTAACAAGATTATTTAGCCACAAACTGCATTAAATTTATTATTCAGTTTGTAAACTACAGTCGGTTTTTAACATATCTTTAGCATATAAGTGATTTTTCACCACCCAGTTTCTATGTTGATAAGCTTTTTGTTAGAAACCACCTAGTCTAGACCACAGCAAGTTCTATTTGATTTAGTTATTACAAAGAAATGTAAGAATTTTTATTATTTATATAATTTTGAAAGTAACATACGACCTACCCCGATCTGAAGTTTTACATTGGAAAGAGAAGATTCCATTTTAGATGTTATGACAAGATAGTTTCGAATTACCATATTATGGACTTTCGAAACTTACATGAAATAATAAAATTCATATTTATAAGCTTACATCTATACGAGTTCCTATCTGTCATAATTATATAAGTAATTGAGAAAGCAAAAACAGTCTTTTTTCTGATAGAACGTGATTAATTTTAAAGTCAACGCTGAAGTTTGTTAACTTGTGAAGTAGAAACTTTTCTATCTCATATTTTAAATGTATAATGCTGGATGAGGAAAGCACTCAACTGCGTCACATGGCAAGCTCTCACTTGGAATTCTCAGGGCCAAAGGAAAAGAGGAAGACCAAAGAACACATTACGCAGAGAAATGAAAATAGATATGAGAAGAATGAACAGAAATCGGATAAAACTAGAAAAGAAGGCCCAGGACAGAGTGGGTTGGAGAAAGCTGGTCGGCGGCCTATGCTCTGTTGGGATTAACAAGCGAAAGTAAGTAAGTAATCTGGATGGTCCAATTTGTTAAGATGACTTCTTCAACCATGAGGAAAAGAGAACATATACAGAAGGCCATGTTACTCGATAAACTACCTCAAAATTATAACATTTACACATTACTGAATATCTTGGCCAAACTGATTTAGTTCAAAATGATCAGTTTAAATAATTATTATATTGGTTCCTTATAAAATCGGGCTCTTCCATTCTATTCATTAACAATATAAGAACTGTACGTAAAGTTAGTGGTACAGTTATTTCAATATTTCAGTGGTAAATTTATATATATATTTTCTTCTTATATGCAAACAAATACTGAATAAATCTAAACATAATCACTTTACTGTATTGTCAACTTTAGAAATAATGAATTGTGTTGAATATTTGTAATGGTGAACTAGTCAACCAGTAGGTTACGTGTTCGAGAATATGGTCGCTGTTATTATTCTGCAACAAACTGGATAACTCTCCAGGTCTCCCACACTGTACGAGCATTCAATGAACCTAAATTAATGGTTGCTCTAATTGTCAGAAGGGGCATCAGCCTCGTGACTTTCGAAGGAACTCGGCTTTCACCAATAAGTGTCATAACTTCTCTAAATGAAGACCTTCTAACTCTCAGGCCAGAATTTTAATGGTTTGAATTATTTTTCTGGTTAGCGGTTTTTTAGCGAGTTGGTTTTCTACTGAGTTGGGTTCGCTAACCACATGCCCAACCCTTCTCCCGTATCCGGGCTTGGGACCGGCAGTAACCCCAAAGGGGCTCCAGGCGGAGTTCGATTATTATTATTATTAATACACTAGTAATCCAATCAAATTCAAGAACAAATACGAACTGTACAATCAAAATCACTTTTTCACTCATATATAACATGATTCATATATATTTTCTCAATATTCTAGCCAGCATTTATCTCAGATCTAAATTTCCCACTAAAAGTATAATGACATAATAGTAATGTAGTACATGGTAACCACTATTCTGATGATAATAATAATTCAGTGACATTGATTGATTGTATCTTTTTCATTGTAATGGTGTTTTAATACTTTAATTCTGTTTTAATAAAGAATTATGATTCATCATCAATTTGGCAATAAGTACATTCTAATAGAATAGTAAATAATCACTAGTCATTAGAAAAATCAAAACCTGATTTATGTTTTTATGTTATAGATTGAATTGGAAATTATAATACTACTAGGCAATTAATCTGGGTTGTGTTTTTTTTTGAGGATGGTTATCATGAATTAACCAATAATGATCAGGGTGTATTAGACAGACATTTTTTCTCTTAGTTTAGGACTTTGTTACAATTCACATTGTCAAAATGGCTTTTATGGTGTTGTATAAAAGTGTTAAAGGGCATATATTAAGGTTTAGTGAAGATTTTGCCATATGGAAATTCAAACCTCCTTTTATGTATTCAATCACAGTTTGTCCTCACTTTAAACTTACTCTGGTTATTATCGAGAGTGGTGAGTTGTCAAATTTTTTTCACAGTATTCTCTTTATCATTTTTGTCTTCCCCATTTGTCTAATTGACCTATCTGTTTTTATATATAAATGTTCTTAGCAAATATATGT